GGAGTGATTCATAGGGGCTCCCAGCAAATAAATAGCCCAGTGGTAAGAGACAACTGTACAGCTCCCCCCGACTCCAAAGAATCTACGTCTAGACCTACAGTGAATATGCGATGCCTTTCTCCATGAAGTTATCTCAGTAAATAGTAAATAGCCCAGTGGTATGGACCAGTGATTCATAGGGGCTCCCAGCTAATAGCCCAGTGGTATGGACCAGTACACGTTCCCAGCCGTGCAGAAAATTAAGTTGTCCTATCAGCCCGAAAAATTTGGGACTTGGGGAAGGCGCGGTAGTGCAATGGGGGAGGAAGACGGGGGGCCCAATGAAAAAAGGGCTAATGGACTGCAAGTTCTCCTGCTGCTTCATTCCGTTCTCCGTGCATGCATTTCCGCATGCACGGACATCATAGTGGACATGACAGGGCACAAGTCGAAAGTAGGCGGAAAAAAAAAAAGCAGAATCGAGTGCCCGCCAGATGGCAGATAACCTTTTGAGTTGGAGACAGAAGGTCCAGCCTTGTTTTTTCTTTTGAAAAATTTGGACCATTTCTCGATTTATGCGTGTCATTCTTGCGCAGGGGCCATGCTAATCTTCTCTGTATCATTCCAATTTTAAACCACCAGTACTTGGCGCAGCTATCAGCCGCAGAAAAAACGTTTCTAGTTGGATGAATTTGGGCGCTCCTGTAATGGCCCGTACGTTTCCTAAATCCATGGCGCGTTAACGGGCATGACTCGAGGAAGTACTGGTGGTTTAACGGATGTCCCAAAGGACGCTTTGTTTTTTTTTGAGTAGGTAGTTTTTTTTCCTTTCCTTTCGTTTAATTGATTGTATCTGCAACCGTTTTGAGGATAGGTATGGGTGCAGTTTGTGAAGGAACTGCCCTGCCTCCTTTGTAGGCTTACAAAATAAGAATTGAACCTGCTTGCTCTTTTGGATGCTGTCCGATGCAGTGGGCAGCGTGGATTGGAAAAGCGTCTCCATCTGGGGCCCGGAATACGGCCAGATGCAGATGAGAGTTCGTCGTGGGGGCAAGCAGCCCCCAAGCTATCATTGCAACCGTTACGAAACAGAGAAGCAAAGAAAAAGAAAACTAAACTACAATGACGACCTCTAACGGCATACTCAGGGTGTATTCACACTAGCACGTTTCAGAATGCATTCGACTGCATTCACGGCGAGACCAGGATGAATCTGACATCAATCACGTCCAGAGCTTTGTGGAAAAAGTCCCCGTGCGAGTATGCCCTCACACTGACACTTTGCTAAACGTAGCTGACAGCACTCACGACCAACGCTAGCAAAAGACAGTCCCAGCATTAGTTTTCCTTTTTTCTTTTTCCCTTTTTTCGTTGCCCTTTTTCCCTACCTCGGAAGCCGTCCCGCCTTGTTGGGAGGGCGGTTAATTGCCTTTGTCCGTTTGTTGCACTAGTTTTCTTTCGTTTCAAGGTCCCCCTTTCTTTCGTTCCAAGCATGCTGTTGGTGGTGTGGGTAGTCTTAAGACCATAAAGCCTCAACGACTGCGCTCCAGACATCCACTCTTTTTTTTCCTGCAGAGGAGGAGAAGCAATTCCTGAATTTACTGTCCAATCTCCCACTTCCCAGCGGTTGTTTTTCTTAAGGCTTGTATGGCTGTAACAACTTCCTGTAGATTTTTGACTAGGTGGTCTATTGTCCCATATATATGTTTAATCTGCCATACCATACCTCCCCCCCCCCCCCCCCCCCCCCCCCCCCCCCCCCTTCTTCCTCTTCTAACGATGACCCACATTTCCAACCTTAAGTGGTTAGGGTTAGTGTGTTATCTACCGCATTTGTCATCCACGAGTTGCACAATGAAGGTTATTACGTCCGCTGAGTGTTCTATCTGGGCCCAGTTCCTGAGAATAGGCCCCGGCCAGAGGTTGCCTGACTGTGCATGGCTGTCAATGTGTACGGCTACCGTCTTCACCCGAATAGAACGCCCAGTCATTATAGATGTATTTGGCACAACTTTCAGTCAGGATGCAGCGATAATGACCGAGCGTTCTATTCGGGTGAAGACGGTAGCCATTCAAGTCAACCACACACTGGTGGACGCCGCTAGGCTGCCTCAGCGCTCAGTGAAAGGAAGTCGCAATTGGGCTCCTTAGCCTACTTGAGAGAGTCGTGCACTTGCACATGCAATTGTGCTAGCTTGTACTGCGGGTAATTGGCGACGGTGGAGGGAATGGCATCGGCTCATCAGAAGCAAGGAAGTCAGTAGGCACAGTGGCAATCAGGTTGGAGGAAGTTGGAATAGGGACAGGCGAGGAAGACTTGAACACTGTTCTTGAGGCGGGTTTTTCGGTTGCCGATTCTTCGTGTGATTAAAAGCTATGTGCGATATCAACCGACGGTAGCACTTTGTAGATGGTGTTAGGGGGTCGTAAGGAGAAAGTCGGGCTGGACTGTACTCTAGTCCTATTGAACATCATGAGATGTTCAGTGATTGACTGCTGATGGCTGTTTGAGTTGATCTGGGTAGTTGCATGGATGGGCTGTGACTTGCTGGGTTTCATCATAGGTACGTGGTTCAGAAAAGTGCAATTTTCATGCTATGACAGCATGAACCGACCCACGATTACCACGTGCGCTCTGAGCACGGACATAGCAACAATAGGGCCTGCCACTAAATGCAGAGGGCGGTAAGGGGCTCACAAAGAAACTTCAAGATGCCAGATGCGAGTAGAGCAGGGTAGAGCGGAACTCAGAATAAAACACCGTATGTCAGTCGGGGCATTCACATCATTCTCGTCAGCTTCTCATCTTCTATCCTTTTACCGTTGAGAAAGAGCCGAGATAGAATATGGTTGGCGTCCAGATTAGTGAGGAGATTTGTGAGACGAAATGAAACAGCGGTATGGCATCGTAGAGAATTGCAGATTGACAGCATGGAATGAAAGAGTTTTTCAGCATGGCAGAGCAGAGCAGAGCAGTGTTAAACAGGAGAAGAAGTGATCTGCATGTGTATGTCCATTTTCTCTCCCTCTGTGGCTTATCTTGTTCGGATAGAACATGTAAGCAGTCTTCTTTGGATACCACATCCAAGTAGCATCATCAATGGAGAACAACAAGAACAAGAGAGCACATGTACGGGAAGGTCAATGGTGAAAGATTCAGATGAAGACTCAGGATAATTTATTGGAGCTTGACCCTGAAGAGCAGTAACCCTTTTCAAATCATTCTGTGAAATTCCTTTACTTGCAGCATAAAAGGATGTCATAGCTCCCGCAAAAGTCGTCGCAACTAGAGACTTGGGCTTGCTATCATGGAAACACCTGCTAGCATGTGTTTCTGCACCCTTCCCTGAATGTACCTTTCTGTTTATCCAGTCAGGTTCCTCATTTTCCTGTCAGCCTCTTGTTTATTCTCCTGGATTGATTATGCCGGATGTAGACCAGCAGGTGTTACAGTGTCGATCGCCTCCATGCACTTGCCAGATTCCTTCTTGATCGTGTCCGGTCATTGTGGATCACGGTGAAAGTGTTGTTCATGACCATTAGTGTTCTGATGGCCGTCGACCAGTCTTGGATCGCCATTCTATGTTGATGATTGACAACCATTGGCTCGGCTTCAACCAATCTTCGATCACCATTATATGTCGACGATTGACGACCATCTGGTTGCTGCCACCGTCGGATTGTCGTCAATCGTTCTTGGATCACCATTGTGTGTTGATGATTGACCGCCAAGTTGGCATCAATGTTTGTCAAACTAGGGTTGTCCTCAAGCGTGAAGCACTGAAGCTATATCTTGGCATAACATAGAAAGACGTGTTGTAAGAGTCTCTATATCTTGGCGTAACATAGAAAGGTGTGTTGTAAGAGTCTCTATATCTTGGCGTAACATAGAAAAAGGCGTGTTGTCAGAGCTCAAACAGTTGCCATGACTTGCTTGTCTGGCATTTCATTTGGGGCCATGTAACTACAGGCCATTGGCTTGTAAGGAAGGCTGTAGAATAGTTCATTGTAACCATGGGTGATTGCCTCCACTTCCCATCGGCTGGATTTCGAACGTGCTCCAACAGCTCGTTACAACGTATTGCAGAGTTTAGGCATAGAAGTAGACATAGGGTCTTGAACTCATGACCTTTCTGGTGATCGGGTAGTGTCACAGGCCCAAGATCTTAAGGGTTTCCCCAGGGCTGTGTCCTCGAGACTGACCCTTGCCTGTTGCTTGAGCTTCTTGTACGTCTACTATGATAGCATGTTTCGGACACGATAGCCACTGCCAGACGTTTTCATTGAGCTCTGCTTCAAGGCCCCATTACTACCGCCTTCACCTGAATACAATTCCCGGTCGTTATAGCGGTACGTGGGGAAACTTTCAGTCCAGGTACATATATAATGACCAGGCGACGGGCATTGTATTCGGGTGAAGATGGTAGCCTGCTGGCCTCTTTTGCCCATGAGGCTGCAGAAACGGTGAGTGAAGGAGAGGGGTGTGTCACCGTTGGGAGGGGTGAAAGTCAGGAATCAAGATCAGGGGTAGACAAGGTGTGAGAATGGTGGAGGTGGAGATGCAAATGGGAATGCTGAACACTGTTCTGGTGTGCACAATGGAAGTGGAGATGAAGATGGGAGTACTGCAGGCCATTTCTGTAAGAGTCGTCAAGAAACCTGAGCTCTTTGGTGGATTCTTTCTGGTGTGCAGGCTGTTGTCCATGGAAGGCATATTTGTCTGACACTTTTGGACTGTAAATCGATTTCAAGTGATTAGAAGGGAGGCATTGCGAGGGAGAGAACTGAGGTCTTGATTCCAAAGTTTGCTTCCTCGCGTTTGAGGTTGTGAGGGCGGACGGTTTTCTTATAAAGTTGCTGTGCATAATTGTAATCTCTGGTAGTGAATTCCTTGATGTATGGATGTCCTTGTGTTATGGATATGGTGGCCAAAGTTGTAAAGGTAGTTGATAAGATATGAGGATCAACTCTTCTGAAAAGTCCATGATGCACATGTGACGGTGTGTCATCTTTCAGGGCAGCTCGCTGAATGGAGACGGGCTAAATAGCAGCAAAGTGCCTTGTGCTAGTAGAAGTTCTGCGATGGCTGGCCCAGATTACAGCATGGGAAGCATGCCAGTTGGCGGCAACAACGGCCGTATCTTCTTCGATGCACATTGCCATCTACAAGACGTTCGACTAGGTGGTTGCTTGGATGATGTTCTCTCTGAAGCTAGAGTTGCGGGCGTGCGATGGTTTGCCGTAAATGCGACAACCGAGGAGGATTGGAGGGATGTGAAAGCCTTGGCAGATAAGCATCCTGAGTCAGTTGCTCCTTGCTTTGGCCTTCATCCACTGTTTCTGAGTTCACGGTCATGCCAGTGGATGCCGAAGCTCGAAAGCATGCTTCGTGAAACTCCTAGTGCAGCTGTCGGTGAGATTGGTCTAGACAAACGACCAATTTGCGATGTGGACTTTGACACACAGGTGGAGGTTATGAAAGCACAGCTGCAGCTTGCAAAGGAGATCGGTCGACCTGTGTCAGTTCACTGTGTTCGAGCTTATGGGGATCTTCTTCGGATCGTTAAAGAGATGGGTGAGTTCCAGGCAGGACTGATTCTGCATTCTTATATGGGTTCTGCAGAAATGGTGGGCCCCTTCTCCTCTCTTGGTGCATATTTTTCCTTCTCAGGCTTCATTGGGGGCCTTCAGGCAAAGAAAGCTGAGAAGATGCTGCAACGAGTGCCGTTGGATCGCCTTCTTCTCGAAACGGATTGTCCAGACGCACTGCCATATGTAGATCTAGGTCTCCTGCAATGGGTTCCGAATGATCCCAATGGGTTGCGTCAAGGCCAGAGTCATGGGGCGGGTTCAAATGTGTCATCGTCGAAAGGGTCTATGGGCGGCAGCACCGTTGGGGGTGACGGAGATGGTTCAGGCAAACCTGCATTCCCGAAAGGTGCTCTCAATCATCCGGCCAACATAACCCAGGTGCTGACCCTGGTTGCACGTCTCGCTGGAAAAACTGAGCAGGAAATTGCTGAAGCTGCATGCCGAAATGCGCTGCGATTATTCTCCTACGAAGGGTCAAGGATTGCCGGCGAGTTACCGGCTTAAAATCGGGTGTCGAGTCTGGCGACAAAGTAAACCTGAGCTCATTGGCACTCTAATGAGGCGCTTGGGAAGGGTGGGTGTCAAAGGGGACCTTGAGGAAGTTCTCAGGTCTTGTGAAATGCATGCCGATTGAGACACAGCATAATTTCCAGTCTAGGTATGCCAAACCTAAACCACAGCAGCAATTCCAGCCTGGGTACAGCAGATCCTAAAGTCTGTATCTACCCAGGCTGATATTGCTGCTGTGGTTCAGGTCTGGTGTACCTAGGCTGGAATTCCTGGAGGTATTCGGGGAACAACAACTGTGTACAGGATGTTGGAAAGTTGCACTTATTGGAAAGGAAGGATTTCATGTACGGACCTCCACCCTCGCGCACTGAGCCCCCAGGCTTGCTGGTAGTCAGGGTTGCCTTTTGCAGGATGGAAGGGTCAGGCAATCGCGCATGGCTAGGTGTAGTTTGTCAAGGTAGGTTGATATGGGAAGGAGTGAGAAGTTTGCAGAATAAGTCCATGAATTGGTATCCCATTGAGGCCATACGATTGCCTTTTGCAGTAAGGAAGGGTCAGCAATTGTGCATGGCTAGGTGTAGTTTGTGAAGGTAGATTGATATGGGAAGGAGTGAGAAGTTTGCAGAATAAGTGCATGGATTGGTATCCCATTGAGGCCATACTCTTGCTTGCAACCAAGATTCCCTTTCACAAAGAGAGGGCTTAATAGCCCTGTCTGTGTAGGGCACTGTAGGCATATAGTCTCACATGGCTATGTGTCAATGGGGAACATTGGGCACATAGTTTCGCACGGAAAATCATTGGGGAGCATTTCCTGGAATTAATGATTCATGTGTTTGAGCTCTTAAGCAAGGACCCATGTTTCAGCGTGAAGGGACTTGATGTCGGGAACTCGAGGATAAGCGGTGTGCTTGTAGCTGAAGAGATGGTGCTTGATGTCATTCCTATTCAGGTTTTTGCCTAAGTTTCGGGTATGGAAATAAGGTCTCAGGTTGCGACTCTCGGTATTCAATAGTTGTTTGGTGTCATTCGTACTCAGACTTTGGGCCCATATCCAAATCGTTGTTTGGTGTCATTGCTACTCAGACTCTGGGCCCATATAAATTGGGCGCAGACTTCGGACCCAGACTTCGGGCCCGTATAAGTTAGGCCCAGACTCTGGGCGCAAATTTGGGTATGGAAACGAGGTCATGGTGCGGTCGTGGTACGTAAACAGTTGCCCGGAACGGGTTGGTGTCATTGCTATTCTTTTTAACTTCGGGTAAATTTCACGTATGGAAACAAGGTCCCAGCATAGTCTCAGTATGACAACGGTTTCCATGTAAGTTTGTGTTTATGACATACTTTATGTAGATGGCATGACATGACAGTAGATGTAGACGCTACTAGGCAGGTTCATGGAATGCTTTCTATGGTCGTCACAAGTCAGCATGCCATGGACAGCACGTTAGCAAGCTTCACAGAGTCAACGGCAGAGAGTAGTAGCCATAACAGCATGATTTTTCTTATCATTTGATCTTCTTTCTCAGTGGATTCATGCTACGTCTCTATCTCCCAAGTCTGTGTGGTCGACTCTGTTATTCGGGTTCACCTCAGGTCAGTTCTCAATCATAAGTTTCTGTGTACTGGTTTTATCTTTACTGAAATTCAGGATTGTGTATCAGTACATGTTCCTCTGTCTACCCTGCAAGGAATCGAACTGTCGATCTCTGGCTCAACAGCCGGATACCTCAACCACTGCAGCTGTGATATTCAGGATTGTGGTTTTTCTTCTGGTGGTTTGTATTGGTGACCCTGGTTTGACTTTGACTGCTTGAGAACTTGGTGCATGCAAAAGGTCTTCGTGCGAGTAGAACGTAGTCCTTTTCACCGCATCTAGACTGAAAGTTGGCCGAAATACAGCTGTAATGACCTGGCGTTCTATTCAGGGAAAGACAGTAGTCTACCAATATTGTGAACACTGTCTCTGTATCTCTCTTAAAATTAGCAAGCTCTGCTCTACTACAGCCTCGCTTGCAGCATGCAAGTGGGGAGGTAGTTTTGTGAGAGGAAGAGTGCGGAGAGTCCGAAGGGTGATCAATGTGGAGGGAGTGTAAATGATATGGAGACCATTTCAAATTTTTACTTCATTGTACTTCTTCTCTGCTACTCTCTTATTCACTCTGCTTCTTTTCTTCTTGGTCTATGCAGTCCTCAGTGCTGAAACAGTTTTCACCTTTGGCAGTAGCCGATGCAGATCCGAGCGGTCGATCCCTTGACCTCAGCTTACCTGTGTACAGTATCTGCACAGTTCCCTGGAGTTGAACCCGTGACCTGCACGATAGCCAGTGGTAAGTAGGTCGCCGTAGGTTGTAGGCTGGAGGGAGATTCGAACTGTAGACCTGTAAGGTAGGAGTCCAAGTAGAGTCCAGAGGCCTAGCTTTAGTCCTTCTAGAAGGTCGGCAAGTGGTCAAGTGGTGAGTCTAAGGTAGGCCCACGTTTTCAGACGAAGACAAGTGGCAAGGTCAACAGGTAGGACCTCAGTGCAACTGCACTGAGTCGACGGTACGACTGCCTACAGTCAGCAGAAGGGTCTAGAGAGTCCCAGTCCAGTCCAGCAAGTACCACAGGGGGACTGTGAGCACCAAGGGCCGATGGCAAAGGGCAGACCAACGAATTTCTGAAGTATAAATCAAGAGGCAGCGCCCAGCCATTCATTCATTCCTGCGTGAGCCATGCGGAAGCGCTGCCACAGTGACTTGTGCAAGGAGGTCTGCAGATGAGCCCGGAGGACGCAGTGGGCAAGAGAGGAGGAGTTAGCATAGCGATAGGTTAGAGGCAGCCATAGCTGCCATAGCTATAGTTAGTAGTGAGTGTGTGTGTGTGCTCGAGTGTTAGAGTGATGCGTGTGGTGCTCGAGTGTTAGAGTGATGCGTGTGGGATATCCAGGGTGATCCAGTGTATGTGAACAGTGAGATGTTTGTGCGCCATAGCCAATTGGGAGTGAACTCGTATCTGAAAACCATATCTCTGAGTTTTGAGTGGGCGCATGTCGCCAGTGTGCTGCGTTACTGTTTACATGTGTGAAAAGTGTGTTTGAAAACGAGTCTGATTGCAGTGCTCTCCTTCCATCTCATGTCTGTAGGTGGCAGATATAATTGCATGGCGGCTCTCTTGTCTTCCTTGTCTTCCTTGTCTTCCTTGTCTTCCTCCTCTTCCTTGTCAATTCTTATCTACGGTCTCAAGCACAGCAGCTGCATCCCTATTCTCTCTGCTCACATTCCCTGTTCTTCCTCCATCTCCATCATCTTCAAGGGTCATTGTATTGGTTCACTTCATTGGGGCATACCAGACACCTCTTCTTCCTGGCCAGTTGTTGTCACAACACATTTTGTTTTTCTACTGGTGATATCACATCGTACTGGATGTCCTTGCTGCAAGGTGCTTGTCTTGTGGGATGGTGGAGAGCTTGTGTACCAAGAGGACCTATCCAACCTCTCTCTCTCTCTCTCGTGTGCGCGCGCGCGCGCGTGTGAGGTTATCACAATTTAGTTTCCCAGGAATGCAGACCAACACGTGAAGAGCTGAAGGGAACAGGAGTGCAGGGGAGGAGAGGAGCAGGACACAATGGTGATGTTTTCAATCCAACGGTATTTGACATGTTATAGGAAAAATTGCGAGCAGCCGAAGACAGAGGAGAAAGTACATGCGGTTATGATGTTATCAAAATAATTGGATCACACCATTCTCCTCCTCCTCCTCCTTGTTCCTCCTCATCTTCCTCGTCCTCCTCATCCCCTCCCAGCATCATCAACTCAGTCATGCTATCTTTGTTGTGCCCTGTCACATGCCTGCACTCCTTGTTCTCTCCTTCCTCTCGGTTTGTCATCCTCTTCCTTCCTTGTTGCCACCCCCCCACCTTCCTCTGCCTCCGTGCCATCCTTCTCAGCCACTTTGTCCTCCTCCAGCTTCCCCTCCTTTCCGTTTTCCACCGCTTGGTCAGTCCCTGTTTTGCTGCTTGTGTTTGGCGTGACGGTGCTCATCTTTGGCATCTCAAGGTCAAGTGCATTTCCATTGTAAAAAGTGCTACAAGGTCCATGGTTGTGTAAAAGACCTACTGAGGGCATACTTGCACTAGGACTTTTTATTTGAAGCTCTGGACGTGATTGGTGTCAGATTCACCCCCGTCTGGCTGTAATTGCAGTTAGATACATTTAGGAAAGTGCTAGTGTGAGTCTCCCCTGAGACACTTGCCTCTGAACTTTGTCATTTGCTCTCGGGGGGCCATTGGGGTACCGGAAAGGTGTCTCATGTTTGACCATTAAACCACCATCCCACCGCCCCCCCCATCCCGAACTTGCATCTCGTATAAGGACCCCAAGGAGATGTGGATGGAAATAAAATTGGGCCCAAGTGGGTCTCATTTACAAGCTAGTCGGACGGACATGCTACGCACTTGATTAGGACATTATGAAGCTGGATGGATGGTGTCGTCACGAGAAGTGCAACAAGACTAGAAGGAAGGAAAAAAACTCCAGGAGAAAACCAGTACCAAAACTTAAGCAATAAACAATTTTTTTTTACAACGGAAAAGAAGGGCTCAGTGCTTGCCTTGTTGCGCAAATCTCCCGTTACGATAGTGGAGCTGCACTGTTGGAGCCCAGTGAAGCACCGCTGGGCGGCTCTCTTGAAAGGATGCACGCATCTCTCTCTCTCTCTCTACTTCTTTCTCTCTCTCTCTCTCTCTCTCTCTCTCTCTCTCTCTCTCTCTCTCTCTCTCTCTCTCTCTCTCTCTCTCTCTCTCTCTC